TGCCCCCCCGTGGAATGTGGGGCTGCATACGGATTGCAGCCTCTCCTCGAACAGGTACCAGAGTTCGGCTCTCACCACCTCCTCCGAGCCGAGCCAGCAGTCGGACCGTGCCAGCTCGACTCGTTACCCCAAAACGAACCAACGAGGTGAGCGGCCCTGGAAGACGCGGGGGGGTGGGGGAGCGAAGCCCGCGGGATGAGGCGGGGCCTCGGCACCCCAGGGGGCGGGGCCCGGGAAAGTGCCCCATGGATGCCCGAACCCCGGAGAGCGGAGGGGAGCGAGGACGAAGACCCTGGTGGACCCGGGCTCCCGGATAATGTGAGAGGAAAGATGAGGGTTCCCTCCTAAGTGAGGAGGCCAACTCCTAAGATCTCCGATGTAGGTATCTTTCAAGCTTGGGTCTCTAAAGGCTGACTTTTAAATTTTTTTGTAGTATTGGGGCTTGAACTTAGGGCCTTCTCACTGAGCGACATTCGCAGCCCATTTTTATTTTTAACTTTTGAGACAGGGTCAGGCTAGTTACTAAATTGCCCACACTCGACTCAGACTTGCGATCCTCCTGCCTCAAGTCACCCGCAGTGCAGGAAGTAAAGGCGTGCGCTACTAATCCTGGCTAAGGCTGACTCTTGGGATCCCAAACTCGTGGATTCCCCAAGTGGTCTGGAGAGTTCTGGATTCCCCAAGGACTTCTGGTTTCCTGGATCCAAAGTTGGCAGGACCCGGACCCTTGAGCCTTCGAGATGAGGTCGCGCCTGGGCCTGGGAAACCTGGGTATTCACTCGCCCGCTTCCACCTCGCAGGTCCCATTCAGCTGTGGCAGTTTCTCCTGGAGCTGCTCCGGGACGGGGCTCGTAGCAGCTGCATCCGCTGGACAGGCAACAGCCGCGAGTTCCAGCTGTGTGACCCCAAAGAGGTGGGACAGCTCCCTAGTCCCTCCGAGTCCCGCCCGAGGCGCCCCAGGGCGACCTAGCCCTTCGCTAGCACACACCCGGTCCCCGCAGCCTCGCCCTCTCTCGGAGCCTTCCCCGGAGCCGTGTCTCCTCCTGGAGCCCAGACTCAGCCAATCCCATCTCAGCCCGGCCGGGCGTTCCAGACTCCAGTCCTGACGACGCGGCCCCGCCCCCTCGCCCTCTGACCCAGCCTGGCCTCCGCCCTAGGTGGCGCGGCTGTGGGGCGAGCGCAAGAGGAAGCCGGGCATGAATTACGAGAAGCTGAGCCGAGGCCTGCGTTACTACTACCGCCGCGACATCGTGCAGAAGAGCGGGGGACGCAAGTACACGTACCGCTTCGGGCACCGCGTGCCTGATTTGGCTTGTTCGGACTGTCCCGGGTTCCGGCCGGGAGCAGAGACCCAATAAAACATCCTGCCAAACTTTGTCACGCCTTCTAGTCTGCGTTCTTCTCACTCTCACTGGCTAGCCCCGTGGGGAGCCAAAGTTTGCACCCACACTTCAGTTTGGCCTCTCCACCGCCGGGACTCGGGCATCCGGAGCCCTACCTCTTTCCTTGCAAATAACCCAGGAGCCTGGATCTTAGTCCCCAGTATTTTGGTTCTCCTCTCCCTGAGAACCCGGGAGTCTGGGCGAGCAGGCCCTACGCCTGCACCACACTGCCGGTTTTCAGGGACCTGCCCCACAAGTCCCTTGGCCTGGCCTCACCGCCCCCCTTCCACTCTCCGCAGTCTTCACACACCTCTCAACTGGGTGATTATCTGATTATAGGGAGAGGGGAGTAGGCACCTACGTCCTACCGTGACTATTCAGGACCCAGCTCTCAGGGAGCTATGAGCCCACCCAGTGTCCACAAGGCCTGCAGTGTGCCAACTCATGGGACCTGCTAAGGTTGCAGTACGATCCACCCTTCCACTAAATTGATGCAGGAATTTAATCCCCAAAGTCTCCTGCTAATGTATTAAATGATGAAAACTTTATGGTGTTTAGAGGTGACCCGTTTGGAAATGATTAGGTCATTAGGATGGAGACTCCATCGTTGAATCCTGTGGACTACAAGGAGACACTTGGATGGGGGACACCCTGTCTCTTGCCACGTGATCCCCTGGGTCACCACCTCAAGATTGCCAGCAGGAAGGCCATATGCAATGAGGCGACCCGGGCAATGGGAGGCCCTGGCTAGAGCTTGAGCTGCATTGTTTGGTCCCTGTACCTCCAGAACCATGTGCCGAAATAAACCTCTTTTCATTGTGAAGAAGCCTGCCTCTGATATTTCATTACAGTAACAAAAACCCTGACAAGTACAAGACCCAATTGTGAAAGTTTGCCTGCTGTGTGCCCTTGAATAGAAGGCTCAGACTTCAGAAAGGACTGAGTTCCCGCCCAGAGCTATGTCATCAAGGATCACCCGGAACCTAGTGCTGGCCCCTCACCCCTGCAGGTACCATTTTCCTACTCCAAGCTGGAGGACAGAGAACTCAGACTTAGACCTTAATGAGAGCCCCCTGGGGAGCTTACTGGGAGCCTATCCCGCTCTGGAATCACTGAGCCCCTCAGAGAGCCCGCTGTATGGTCCTCCTGTGGGTGATGCTAGGGTCCACCTGTGATATCCAGAACTCACAGAGCAGAGGGAGGTAGACTCCAGACACACTGCCTGTCAGGGACAGCCTGGGGTGGTCAGGGCTGGGATGAGGAAACTGTGTGAGGAAGGGAGCCCACAGGAGGGATCTGACCTAGCCCAGGAGGGAGAGAATTGGGAGGCTTCTGAGATAAGAACAGATTCTGTGAGAGACAATGAGGCTGTAGACTGCCGGGGTGCAGACGCTGCCACTGCCGCTGGTGCCTGCTGTTCTGAGGTGGGGAAAGGGTCCGCCTGGCATCACTAGGGCTGCTCATGGGCTTCCTTCCTATGGTCCTGAGCCTGGGCCCTCCTCAGCCACACGAGGTCAGAGTTCAGGAGGCTTCAGGTGCTCTGCCAGTGACTCAACTGAGGGAACAAGGGGAGCTTGGTGCACTGGGGAGGGGTGCTGGACCCAGCAGGCAGGTGAGGAGCAAGAGCAGGAGGAGGGGCTGCAGAAGTAGCACAGGGTACTCCACAGAGCAGAAGGACAACGCCAAGGAGCTTCAGATGTGTGGCTTTCACCCCAAATCATGCTGGGAGCTGGCACCAAGTGGTTATAGTTTAAAAACCAAACCCAGCCAAGCTCCTCTGGCTGTCCTGATGCTACCCCATCTGATCTGTCAGCCCACACCAGGCTTTCAGAGACCATCACTTTTTGGGCCTCCCAACATCCCACTGAGACACGCAGATGAATAATTATCATTGCCTCATCGTGCAGAAGAACAAACTAAGCTTCAGAGAGGCCATACAGCTTGTCCAGATCACACCTCAGTGGTAGAGCACAGCTCTAGGCCAGCTAATCTGACTGTAAGTCCAGGCTGTCTAAGGAAAATGTGAGTGGCCGGTCCATCATGCAAGTGTTTCCCAAAGCTATGGTGATGCTGACTCCTGTTTGCCTCGCAATTTCCCAACTTCCCTTGCAGCTGCGATTATCTGTGTGATGACGTTTGGGTCCACGTGAGATTGTACGCACAAGTTGTAGGTACCATCTTCCAGGCTAGAGCCTTAAAAAGAAGCCATGTGATCTGATGGTAGGAATGTGGTGGCTGGAGCTGAGGGAGCCACTGCGGTGGATATGGGCCCTGACACACCTGCCTATAATTTTATGTGAGACAGAAATGTTTACTTTGAGCTACAGAAGTTCACAGAGGTTATGTTCTTAGAGAACTGGCAAATTGTGAAAAATCTGCCTATCTCAGATATGGTCAGAAAAATGCCTATTTTTATAGTTTAAGTCCCAAATATGTTATGTGTCCTGTAGTTATGTAACTTAACTTTTTAAAAATTTTGTGGGACAGGGTCTTACTTTGTAGTTCAACCTTGCCTTGAACTCACTATGCAGCCCTGGCTGGCCTTGAACTCATAATGATCCTCCTGCCTCAGCCTCCCCAGTGCTGGGATTACAGGCTTGTGCCACCATGCCCAGCTTGTAATTAAATAAAATACTGTATTAATAAAGCCTTAGAAGGTGCAGGGCACTTTGGTGGCATCTTAAGGATCTTAAGGCTTTAAGAAGAACAGAGCCGAGAACACTCAATATACCTACACATGGTATAGCAACCTGTTATGACCTGGGGAGCCTGGTGTATCTGCCCGAGATGGGTTACAGAGGCAGCAGCCAATCAGCAGCAAGGAGAACTGAATAACACTCTCAGGTTGGCTACCTGCAAATCTCTTGCCCCCACCACAATTGCGGCTGATACTTGTGGTTCCTGTAAGATTGCAGGGGTTTGCACAAACAGTTATTAATTGGGTTCTAAGGAAAAATGTACGAACAACTGAGGCCACAAACTCTGATAGCAGTCAAGAAGACAGGGATTGTGGGACCAAAGAGAATGCAGGACAGGAGCTGTTACCAGCAGGTCTGCCTGAGGTACCTGAACTGCAGTCTGTGTGGGACACACTGAGACTCGGGGAAGATGCCCCCCCCACCTACTGCAGTCAGTGTGAGCCAGCAATCGCCTTTCCCTACAGAGGTCTCCAGTGCAGTGATCAAAGAACACAGGCTGCAGTCAGGAGGCCGAATTCCATCTCTGCATATAATCTCTTGGAGTTTAGGTTTCCTCATCCATAAATGAAGATGATGGTACCTGCCCCCAGGGTAGGGCATAACGGACGTGCGACACTTTTCTGTGCAGCCCCTCTGCCTGGCCCCAGCAGGACGGCCTGTGACACCGCCCTGTGGCTCAGTAGCCCACCACGGAGACACGGGCAGGGCCCTGTGGGGAACCACGGACTGTGCTGAGTGGTGAGAGGGAGACTCTTGACAATAGGGTGGACTGTGACCCCCAGGACGACGGCCTTGTGGTGTCTGGAGAACTCCAGGGAGGACTCTTATGAGGAAGAAGTGCCAAGATCTGACCACACTCTGGGTTCCTGGCCAGACCTGCGGGGTCAGAATGGACAAGAATGGGGAATATAGGTTCAAGTTCTGAGTGTCACAGTTCTGGTGGCTCCAGTCAACACTGAGAAACCTGGGGAAACTCTGCAGCCAGCCCAGGACTGATACCGACCTGCACGGCTCCCAAGCACAAGGAGAAGCTTTCTTAACATACCCACAAAGCTGGACATTGGCGTCCAAACCCCAAGAGCCCTCGCCAATATCAGCTTAGGGCCGCTAGAGGACAGTGTTGTTTATCAGGGACTTAAACTCAACTACAACCTTGAGTCCCATCCTTGGCCCTCCAGACCCGGTGTGACCCTTCTCAGGCAGTGGGGCCCCAGTCACATAGGTGGCCCTGCTCTTCTGGGTCTGCTGGATTCCTGGAAGTAGAGAGCCAATTCCTACTTGCTCATTTTCAGCCCATCCTTCACCCCGGGTATGCAAGCACCCCAGGAATTCTCTCCCCATCCAGACAATAACTAAGGCTCCAGGCTCCACACAGAGTTGCGGCAGCCCAGCCATCAGAGCTCCCTGCTCTACTGGCATTTCCCAGGGTATGGATGCGAAGTTTAGGCACTGTGGAGATAAGTGGAGAATTACACCCGTGTTTATTATAATAGGCATAGGAAAAATAACCTGCCCAGTGGATCGGTGATTTCATGGATATCATTGCCAAATTTAAAAAGCAAGGACATTTAAGATGGATCTAGCGAACACTGAATCAGTGATCACACAGGCGACCTGTGACACTAAGCCAAAGACAGTGCTGGAAAAATGCTCTTCACTACGCTAATGCTGCAGCCAAAAAAGAAAAACGATGCTCCTTGGGCCCAAGGGTTACTCAAGGGTTACTCCTGGTGGAAGTCAGATCATGACTGCAATGTCCACACAGATCAGATCTGCATGTCAGGATGATGACTCGGAAACAGGATGGCCGGAAAAAACACAGGACACTCAGTCCAATTTGAACTTCAGATAAATTATCGCACGGGATGTATTTATACTGAAAATGATTCCTTCATGATTTGGAATTCAAAGTTAACCGGAAGCCCTGTATTTTTATTCGATGAGTCTGGCAGCCCGGCTCTGAAAGGTCCTGTTAGTCTCCGCTGCTCCTCCCTCTTCCCCATTCTAGCCACCTCCAAATCCCCCTGAAACACCTTGCAAATGTGTCCCCGTCAAAGGCCCCTCCACTGATGGCCCCTCCCTGCCCGAAGAAGCCCAGACCGCCTCACCCAAACCCGCCCCAGGGCGTCACAACCCAGCCACCCCGGACTCCGCCTCTCCTTTCCTTTATCTTTCGCTTTGCTCCTGATGACTTCCTGGGCTGGAAAAATTGGATTTGGGTCTGTAAATCCCAGCGTCTCTTGTTCAGTGAAACCTTCTCGGCCCCCCAACTCTCTGCTCCTGCAGTCTGTGCCCCAGGCTGAGAGCATCCGGGCAGCCCAGGCTACGTCAAGACCCAGTCTCAGGTCTGCAGTGAGCAAAGCGCCTGATGGAACAGGCGAAGTGGTAGTGGTGACCCGGGCCCTTGGGGGACCAGGAGGTCAGAGGTGGAAAAGGGACACAAGGAAGAAGGCAGAGAAGGGCTGGGGATTCAGCTCAGTGGTTCCACCGCCTACCTCGCAAGCGCAAGGTCCCGCGTTGGATCCCTGGTACCAAACAAACAAACAAACAAAAAACACAACAAAACAAAAGAAGGAAGAGGAGGATCTTTGTCACCCCTCCCGACCTCCTGAAGAGCAGGCCCCCAGCCCTCCCCTTTGGCCCTGCACCTTCCCTCAGATCAGTGAGTGGACTTGGTGAGGATTAGGATTTTACCACAGAGGTTTTCACAAAATTGAAAAAAGAACAGATTCCTTAGTGCTGCTGGGACAAAGAGCTGGTGAGATAGGGCTGCTGCATTTTACTGACATCTGGGATAGAACCCAAGCCCGTCTGGGCCCCCTGGACACCGGGTGTATTTCCCAAGCAGGAGACTTTAGCTTGTAACCCAGAAACTCAGAAAGGGTTGTTCAGACCCTGGAGTACAATCTTAGAGATTGGGGTGTAACTCAGAGGTAGACACTTGCTTAATATGTGCAAAGCCTTCGGTTCGATCCCCAGCACTGTCAAAAAAAAAAAAAAAAAAAA